CTAAACCTACCAATTTTAGATATAAGATCTACTATAAGAATTTATCAAATTATTATAGTTCAAATTTTGATTGTTTTGGTATCTAAAATTCAAATCGGAAGTATCTTAAGATATTATTTATATTATTGTTTTCAATTCAATCATCAAAACCCTATTTCTCTAATCAATAATTGCCCACTAACATAGATACATATATGTGGGTGAAATGTTACTTTAGACTTACTTTATTATTATCATAGTTTTTAGTAGCAACAATTAAAATTAAAATTCAAATTAATATCATGTAAATATTTTTTATTTTTGAAGAACTATAAGATGGTAATTTATGAAAATAATAAATAAAAAAATTAGAAAATTATCCTACTTTTTATTCAAGAATTTAACTAATTTTTGGTGGAATAAAAAGGTTTATGGATTAAAAATGATGTGCAGCTCCTAAACCTTTATTTCATAATGATAATATCCCCAAAAATCAAAGTAGCTTAGGAGCACAGTTTATATGTTGGATAATAGGTTAATATCTTAATTCTAACAATCTAATCAATTCTCATTGACTAAAGTGACTAGTAACTGATACCTAGTTCGTCGTAGGTTAAAATGGTTGGTGACCGGTAATTATTAAAGGTCCCTTTAGATAGATTTGGATACTCTCAAATACTTAAGTAAATATCTTTTTAGAGAGAGAAGACAATAATATTTTAGAGAGAGATGCTCTAAAAATATATATGCAGTAGAGAATAAAAATTATGAACTTTGAGCTTAAAGGATTTATATAGTATTTTTAACCCATGAATCTTGTCTTTTTATGGAGAAGATGTGTTATAGTGTAATTTTACCATAATAGTATTAATAAGGGATAAATATCCCTTAAACAAGTATTAGTAAGAGAAAATATATCTAACATATGCATTAATAAGAGATAAATATTACTTGCACAAATATTAATGCGACAAAAATATGATAAACCCTTGGGAGATTTTTTATATACTTAAGAGTGTAGGGAAAGTAGGATCTAAAATGTAACTGAGCTCATGAAGGCTGAACTTTTCTTCTATGCTGAGCCCATTAGGGTTGGGCTCTTTCCCTAAGCTAAGTTCATGACATTGAACTATATTTTTCCCTTATGTTGATCCCATAACATTGGGTTATTCCCCTGAATTTAGCCCATGTATGATGGGTTTTTTCCTTTAGTAGAGCTCATGACATTAGGCTCTTCCTCAAGGATAAGCTTACGAGGACTAAACTATTCCTTTTGACTAAACCCATGAGGGTTGGGCTTTTCCCTAACTTTAAGTCCATGGGCAATTTTGCCCAAGTATGTTATTTGAGACCGTGAGTTTTTCACCTTTACAGTTTTCTAGGCCTCTTAAATTTATAAATAGTCTTCCAAGTGTTTATGATAATTATACACAAAGACTTTGTAAAAATATCTGATACGACGAGATTGTTGAATTTTTTATATAAAAAAAGGGGTGGAAACCTCAGGTAATACACTAGAGAGCCCATGTATAGGGCATACACCATGGTTGAAAAATAATTTCTAAGCATGTAGAGGAAAACCAGGAAGGAACCTGTATTAAAAAAGGTTTTTCAATAGGTGGAGAAATCTATAGAGAAGGAGTTTGTACCAAGAAAATTTCTAAGGAGTAGAGGGGATGGACCCATGTCGACGCCCATACTTAGAAAAATTGACAAGAGATAGAAGGAAACCCAATGAGGGCCAACCTATACATAACATGTTTGTTAAAAGGCTAGGGGGAATTCAAGAAGGGCAAGCCTTATACTTAGAATATTTTTTTAAAGGCTGGGGGAACCCGAGTTGGGAAGGTGAGTCTTATACTTAGAAAATTTCTAACCACTGAGGAGAACCCATGTCGATGTCCATACTTTAAAAAAAAATAAGGGACGAAGGGGACAAACCCATGAAAAAAAAATTAAAGGATAAAGGGGACAAACTCATGTCTACATTCATCCTTAGAAAAATTTTAAAAAGATAGAGGAAAAATCTAATGAGGGTGATGTTATTGCATTAGAGAGACCTCCGATACATCTCTAAGAGAATGAATAAGGGGAACCTATGGTGATGCACATATTTAGAAAAAATTATAAAGAGCGGAAGAGACAAACTCATGTCTACATCCATAGTTAGAAAGATTTATAAGGGGTGAAAGGTATAAACCCATGTCTACACCATACTTGAAAAAATTTCTAAAGGACGGGGGGAAACCCAAGAAGGATGGTGTTTGATTAGTACTTAAAAGTGCATTTTTATCATGGTTTTATATCATCATTTTGCACTTGAAGTATCAATAACTCCTTAACTAAAACATGTTTTATAATAATATATCTAATAACATAAGATACCTTTAATTTATGGTAAATGTTCATTTTAAATGCAGGCCTATCACATAAATGAAAGGATTGATTGATGACTTGAAGAACTTAAATTGCAAGGATAAAGAGATGGCCAAACTTAGAAAAGAGATGTCGGTGCAATCCAAACCGGAACACTGTTCGGTAAATGGGTCATATCTGGAGCTATATATCTCAGATTTAGGTCCAATTTATATGGATGGAAAGGTAAGACATAGGCCTACAACTTTCATATGGAGCCCAAGATCTAAAAAGGCCATTATCAAGTCCAAATTGTAGCAACAACAAAGAAGCCCGAATCTGTCTTCCAGCCCGAGCACTGTTCGGTATTTTGGCCATATCTGGAGTTCTAGAAGTCCAAATGAGCTGAAGTTTTTACACAAGAAAGCTGAGACAATTGCCTACAACTTTCATGTTTGCAACTGGCTCCAATTTTGACGTTATCAATGACGTTTTGGGCAGACAAGAGAAGATAAAGATTGTCACCAAGTCAAAAGTTGGCCACCCACTTATCAATTAGTCATCAAATCAATAGTTCCCATTTTTGGCCTATAAAAGGAGGCATTTGCCATGCATTTAGGCATCTTGGTGTTCAGATCAAGATCATGCTCTTCCTTTCTCTCTTTGTATTTTTTATGCTTTGTTTTCATTAATATTAAGTTTATGCCTTTCATTTCCTTTCCTTTACTTAGTTAACTTTTATGTTCTTATTTTGTTTATCTATTTTGCTTTCTTTCATTATGTCTAGCTAAGTTAATTATGTCAAGGTGAAAAGGTTACACTAATGGTGTAAGAATAAGTATAATGTAAACTTAATATGGACTTTAATGTTTGATACTAACATGTTTTATATTTGTTATCTTGTTCACTCTTTAATACTTTGCTTGTTAAATAACTAATCTTGATTTATGTTGTATAACACTTGGTACAACAAATGCTTGGCACTTTCATAGCCCATAATGTATGGTATAACCGACACCTGAGCTATGAAAGGAACTTGATTTATTGTTAACATAAGTTATAATCATGAATGCTTGACGAGATTTACAAGTATTAGCATTAATTGAATAAGATGACTAATGTAATCATGTTAACAATATATAATCTGATTGGAACCTCCTTCATCAATCTTTTAGTCGTGTCAGTGTTATTGCATTAGAAAGGCTTCAGATCCATCCCTTCCAAAAAGAGTTATGTTATCGCACTAGGGAGGCTTCAAATATATCCCTTCCAAGAAGAGTTATGCAATCACACTGGGGAGGTTTTAGATTCATCCCTTATAAGAAAAGTTGTGCTATCATAATAGGAAGGTTTTAGATTCATCATTTCCAATGAGACTTTTGTTGTTGTACTAAGGAGACTTCAGATCCATCATTTCCAAGAAGAATTGTGCAATCATACTAAAGAGACTTCAAATTCATCATTTTCAAGAAGAGTTATACAATTGCACTTAAGAGGCTTCAAATTCATCCTTTTCAAAAAAAATTGTGTTATCACACTAGTTAGGTGTTAATGATGATATCCTGAAAAATCTAAATAGCTTAGGAGCAAGGTATGTATGTTGGATAATCAGTTAATCTCTTGATTATAGCAATTTGATCCATTTTTTCTGGCCAAGGTGGCTGATAGCCAATACCTAGTGCCTAGTAAGCCAAAGTAACTCATGACTGGTAACTGTCAAAGATCTTCTTTGGTAGATTTTAGAATTCTTAGATGCTTAAGTAAATATCTTTTAAGAGAGAAGACAATGGTATTTTAAAGAGAGATATTCTTAAAATATATATGCAGTAGAGAATAAAGATTATGAATCTGAACCTAAAGCTTAAAGGATTCATGAAGTATATATAGTTTGTAAGTCTTGTTTTTTTATAAAGCGTAGAGGTTAGAGTGTAATTTTACCCTGATAGTATTAATGAAAGATAAGTATCTCTTAATAAGCATTAATGAGAGAAAATATCTTTAATATATATTTAATAAGTAATAAATATCACTTATACAAATATTAATGTGATGAAAATATGATAAGTCATTGAAAGATTTTTTATACACCTAAGAAAACAGAGAAAGTAAGATTTAAAATATAACCGAGTTAATGAAAGCTAAACTCTTCCCTAAATCTAAGTCCATTGGTGTTATATTGCCTCAAATTATGAGTTTTTTACATAACATTAAGGGAATTATAAAAAAGAAAAAATTTAACCTATTAGAGTTGATTTAATAAAAAATATATAAAAAAATAGAGATATCTTGATGTTTTTTTTACGGTGACTATTATCTATCATCAATCTAGCTCTAGATTTTGGTAATGAAAGAAAAGGTCCATATAATATTGTAGTATAATTACTTTTAAAAATATTTTTTATTTGAAAATAAATTAAAATAATATTTTTTATTTTTAAAATTTATTTTTATCATAGCACATTAAAATGTTTTAAAAATATTAAAAAAATTAATTTAATTTTTTTTTTAATTTTCAAAAACACGTTTACTTGGTTTTGGTCATGTTTCCCGAGAATTACTAACCAATATTATTATTACTATTGAACAAAATGAGGACCAAGTAAACAAGACTGCATGTGGGAATTACCAAGCAGTGTTTATCTTTTTCGTAGCTGCCTATTTTATTTTTCGAACGAATTTCCATTTCCCCAAGGCGCAAACGGTCTCTCTCTCTCCCTTCTTGTTCACGGTCAAGTTCCCACCTGGACGCCTCTTCTTTCCCTTCACTCTCACGTCGTACCCTCTCTTCCTCCATCTCTTCCTCCCCCCTCTCTATATATACCTCATATCTATATGCGTAACTGAATATATAACCAGCAGAGCAGAAAGAAAGAAAGAAAGAAAGAATGGTTGAGAAGGTGAGAGCGAACTGTAATTATTCTGGTCGGGTCGTGGAGGGACCGACGAACCCGATCGTAACGCCTCTTTTAACGGATCTTTATCAGTTTACAATGGCTTATGCTTATTGGAAAGCCAATAAACATCAAGAGCGAGCTGTGTGAGTAGTTTGCCTTTTTCTTTTTTCTAAGGATTCTGTTTTTATTTATTTGGCTGTTGAGGGAACTGAAATGTTTTTGTTTTCCTGATAAAATAATAATATTGCATCTGTTAGTTGATTCCATGCTCAATATGACATTATTTATAGTAGTACCTAATTTGACAGGGGAATTAATACTTTGAATTACATTGCAATAGGAGTTTTGTTTTAAACATTAAAAAGCTTGTCTTAATTTCTTTCGATTTTTGATCTGGGGCTCTTTAATGTTTTTTGTTATCAGGTTTGATTTATATTTTCGTAAGAATCCGTTTGGTGGGGAGTACACAGTGTTTGCTGGTTTAGAAGAATGCATCAGGTTAATTGCTAATTTCAAGTTCACCGAGGATGATATCTCTTTCATCCGGGAGAGTCTTCCTGGTTCATGCGAGGTAAATGAGGCTTAGTGGTTTATTGTTTTCTTATTTATTGTTCAGTCACTGCTTCTCGTGGCTTTTAAATCTGAGGAGAACTACCACTTAATACATGATCTTGCAGGATGGTTTCTTTGATTATCTTAGAGGATTGGACTGCTCAGAAGTCGAAGTGTATGCCATTGCAGAGGGTTCAGTAGTCTTCCCAAAGGTTCCTCTGCTAAGAATAGAAGGACCAATTGCTGTTAGTACACCTTTCAACTGGTTTTCCCTCTATTTTCTTGTTTACAGTTTACCATGTACATTTTGTCTCTCAACTGGATCTTACTCGATTAATGTTTTTGCAGGTGGCTCAATTGCTGGAAACCCCATTAGTGAATCTTATCAATTTTGCATCTTTAGTGGCAACAAATGCAGCTAGGCATCGATTTGTTGCTGGAAAATCAAAAATTCTTCTTGAGTTCGGGCTTCGACGGGCTCAGGTTGCTGACTGTATTTTGATTCTTTTTATTTTTTAATGCTGGCTTGAGTTATCTTTATGAGAAAACTCATTATTTTATGCTTAGGGACCTGATGGTGGGATATCGGCGTCAAAATATTGCTACCTTGGAGGGTTTGATGCAACAAGGTAATTTCTAAACATTTCAGTTGCTGCCTTTTGTATCGTGCAACAATTCATCTCTTATAGTTGAATTCTCAGAATGGTTGTACTTTTTCTAATTTGCCTTCGAATCATTTAACAATGATTCAGTTTAAGCATCAACTTTCCATGTTAAGAGTCTCTTTACATTAATCCAAATGAAATATTAAAGTAGCAAGGACTAGTGAGTAGATAGCTCAGACATGTTTGTCTACTACACAAGATTTTTTAGTTTATAGTTCAAATTCAGCTTTTGAATTTCTTCCAAATCAGTTGACCTGTGCATTGGCTAAGGTGATTCAAGATTGGTTTGGGTGGACATAGGTCAATGGTTCTGATCCTGCCTTCAGGAAAGGGACCTAAAACTGAGACAGGGAGCTTCTTCAAAGCTGAGGAAACTATCTTGGTTTACAAGATCATTGTATCTAATTGTTCCTTCAGGAAAAGGAACAAAAACTGAGACAAGGACCTTCTTCAAAGCTGAGAAAAACATCTTGGTTACTAGGTACATGAATTTGATCTGGAAAAAGAATATACACCTCCTCTCCAAAAGAAATGTTTTATTTTCACCCATGCTTGCTGGCACATGGTTCCCAAACTGGCTGAAGGGAGGTCTAAACTATGCTTGTTCCTAAATTAGGGTAGGATAGCTTTTATAGCATGTTGGTGCTGGAACAATTATGTTTCTGAATTTTGAGTGAATGAGATATGGTAGGGGATATTTTAAGTGTTCATTCTTACCCCGTGCCACCCCCACCCATAACTTATTTGACAGGTTTAAATTTCTAAGAATTCAGTAAACCTTAGTAATGAACAACCAAATGAGATTTTGGTTTTCTTTTATGAAACGTGGATAAAAAACAATTGAATGCAAAAATCACATTTCATTCTATGTTACTGGCTGTTGTTCAACATATTAACTGGTATTTGCCTATTTCTGCCTTCTGTTTTGACAGCAATGTTGCAGCCGGACGGTTATTTGGGATACCTCTACGTGGGACTCATTCCCATGCATTTGTCAGCTCATATATGGTTGGTAATCTCGAAAAGCATTATAAGACATCCAGGCTAGGCTTTCCCCTTTTATTTGAGAAGTTACAGATCCTTCATTTCATCTCCCTAGGCTCGTAACCTGACTCAAAAGTAACTAACCTCTCCGGAGGCCCTTCTTCGGTAGTTATTTCCAAGTTGAGAAGTACCTTTTGAAAGCCCTTTGTCATTGCAATGGGAAATTTCAGAGCACAATAATTAAGATAATGCATGTTTCTTCATATATGCTTCAGAGTAGCATTTCAATTTTGCAACTTCTTTTTTAAGTGCATTATTAACTGATATAGTGGTCGTTTTGTGCTGTTGTGACTTTTGGTTCATATGATATGTTTTCTCTTTTTGGCATTGGTCTCTCTCTCAATTACAGGCCTGTTTCTTTTCTGTGCTATTTAATAAATTTGTCATCACAAGTTTGTGCCCATGTTTAAACATTCATGCAATGTATGTTAAACAATAGTATTTCATTGCTTGAGGTTTAGTTAGTCCTCCATCTAAATTATCCAGTGGTTTGCAGAGCCCTGATGAGATCATAGACAAGTCGCTTCAAAGTGCTGATGGATCAAGTAGTTGCAAGGACTTTGTCAGTTTAGTTCAGACATGGATAAATAAAATTCAGGTTCTGTTCATTGGCCCTCTTCATTCATTTTGATTATTCATCAAAAGTTGTCCGTCCTCTGTTCATCTTTAGCTAGAGATGACTAAATTAACCTGCTGCCTTTCTTGAATGTTTAATAACATAAATTAGGGCGGTTAAATTTTCATATTCTTTATCTTATTGGAGATAACTGTTGTGCAGCTTATGGATCTATATGTTGTCAGCATGGGTTAAAAAAAAGGGGGGAAGTAAATATTAAAGTTTTATTTGTTGATGAAAATTCCATAGGTGTGGGATGTGTAATCAAGAATGCCTAGTTGGCGTGCTTCAGATCCTAGTTAGATTTCTCTATGAAAGCACCAAAGAACTATTGATGATAATGCACAGCATATGGAATTCCTTGAAATATAATTTAGCTGGTGGCCATGGCATGAGACTTTTATGTAGTTTTGAAGATTTTACAATGCAGAAAATATCATGATCTTCTTGCCAAAAAAAAGGGACAAGGTTCTAATTTTAGTTCCAAAATATAAAAATTCCTATGGTTGCTTATACAAGCAGTTATGTTTGTGCATTGCATGCTAGCTTTTTCATGTTAAACAGTTTTGATATTATCATTAAAGTGCAATCTCTCTCTTTCTCCCCATTCCTTTCTGTTATAATTGTTCTGGGGTTTTTAAATGTAAGAGTTAAAAGTAATTTTCCTGAAGTCCTAACTCTGAATCCTGGAAAGATTTTTCTTTTCTTTACACAGATTTTAGGTCCAGAAAGGGGGATTTTTGTTGGGCCTTGTAAAATTAATAGTTTCTTTGAAACATTGTTGATCGATTCCAGAGAACCCATGGAGGGCCTTTTTGATATATAATATATAAGATTCAATATTTTAGGAACTTGATGGTTAATAACAGGTACTATTTCACGGAGAATGTCTAAAGCTGCAAGCCATTTTGATAACTAATATTGATTAAGAAGTTTTCTTACTTCCATGACAGCTAATTGGTGTGAACAGTGTCTCAATCATACAATTCATACTTCATTTGTTTATTCTGCTCCCCTTTCATTTTTTGTTTTTCTTTACATTTTGATTTGATTAATATGGTTTATGCTATGCAGTGGTCAAATTCCTTACGTGGTATTTTTGGTGAGACCAATCAAAGTGAGCTAGCAGCTTTCACCTCCTATGCCTTGGCATTCCCTAGAAGCTTTTTAGCTCTTGTGGACACATATGACGTGAGTGTAGTTGTTGCTTCTAGGTTGATATGTTTCAATTCTTTGGAATAAAACTGATAGCTGTTTCCTGGAAAAGATTTTTTTATTTTATTTGTCAAGATATGACATATAGCTAGTTGATATTGTGCTTTTCTTCAGATTATTATCACTATGAAAAGTAAGTTTTTACATACAATCTTGGGTGCTTAGGGTAATCCCTCACTGAAAACTTGTGTCTACATGTTTAGCACCAAACGTTGTAAAGAACAAGCCAAAGTCAACAATTGTTTGATCAAATTTCAGTAACCTCATAACTCTATTGTAATTTGCAATCACAGTTTATGAAGTTGATCTTCTCAAAATGCTTGTGTCATCCAGGCCACTCGATACCTTGAAATTTTCAAAAACCATATTCTTTTGAATGAATTGAGACATTAACTTCTCATGCAGAGATGCAACTACTCAAATCATGAAGCTCTAATCACACTCAACCTTTAGGCAAATATCTGCAAAATTTAATGATATGCTGTCTTCACTTTTAGCTGCATGCTGCACTTTGCCTTGTTCATAAGCTAGGTGGTTATTTTGAAAAAACATGCATTCAGTAACCAGTAAATGTGTCCAAGAATTTGTAGGTTAGGATAAGGGAAAACTTATTAGGGTCTATAACCTTGGAAATTTCTTCCAATTTACCACATCTTTTTTATGTATACAACTGATCTTCTCAAAATGCTGATGTTTATATCTTGCATAATCATGCATGTGGCATTTCATACAAGTAGTCATTAACTTTTCGATTATGAAATGGTGCAAGTGCTCTTATAACGTTTCCATGACCATACTTTAGTATTAATGGATTATATTTGCAAAGGTTAATTATATGTTGCATCTTCTGTTTGCTGCATGCCAAACTGTCTTGTTAATTAAGCCAGGTGGCTACTTCAATCAATAATCACTTTAGTGCAGTTAACATTGCATTTATCTGTTCTGTCTCTTTTCCAGGTAATGAGGAGTGGAATCCCAAACTTCTGTGCAGTTGCTCTAGCACTTAATGATCTTGGGTAAGCCTGAAAGATTTACGAGTGTGATGGCATTTTTACTGGGCAAAATTCCTTTTTTAATCGTCATGGGAACTGAAACATACGATCTTATATTTTTTAAAACTTCTCCTTGTCATCCTGTTTGGGTAACAGTATCTCTCTCAAAGGCTTGATGCCGACATTACACTATTCAAGTTATTTGTTGGCATGCCAGCATCAAGATTGCATATTCTGAAACTGCGACACTGCCTCTACCTTGGCCAGTGCTTTCATTTTCACCTATCTAGCATTTAAATCACATCTTTACATCTACCAGATGACTTCTGACATCCCTTTGGTTTACACCAATGGCCTGGTATCTTTCCCTAGTGGCCTATTTTTTCCTTCAACTGGGGATTCAACCAAATATTCCTGTAGTTCGGGTTTCAACCAGATATTTGCAATATCCAGTTGAACAATTTGCTATGTTTTAGAAGCCATATGCAACATTTTCCAAAGCCTGTTGCGATGGTTTCTCACAGCCATTTGTCATGATTGGCATCCAACAGCAATGCCTTCATTTTAAATCAAAGCCATTGATATCCTTCATCTTTAACCACTGTCACATTAGTTTGTGATTCAATTGTCTATCTTTTATTTGCATAGCATCCTGAAGACTTGTCCTCTTTATAATTTTTCTATGTTGACTTTTTAATATTTCTCGATAAACACAAGTGATTTTAGATGGTTTACTTTGCAGATATAAAGCGGTAGGCATCAGATTAGATTCTGGTGATCTAGCATATTTGTCCTGTGAGGCGCGGAAGTTCTTTAGCGCCATTGAGAAAGAATTTGGAGTGCCTGGTTTTGGAAAGATGGGCATCACTGCTAGTAATGACCTCAACGAGGAAACTTTAGATGCTCTAAATAAACAGGTATTCATTCTGTAACAAAACCGCTCCTGTTCTATGTGCAAATTACATACATTTCCCATTTTGGAGCTTGCTGAAGGCATCAGTCATCTATTAGTTATTCTATGGAAGCATATTTTAACGGAGATAATTCAGTAATTCTCTAGCTTTGTGTGTTTGCTCCTTGCACAATCAGATAAGTGTAACATGCTACTAAGAGAAAATTTCTGACAAATATCTGGCATCTGATTTGTCTCACTTAGCTGCATGCTGTGAAAAGATGCCATCTCTAAATTTCACTAATTTTACTTCAAGCCTGGGTCTATTTATACATTTAACGGAGATAATTCAGTAAGTGAAGCAATAGAGTTAAGAAAAACAGAAAGGGAGACAAAAGATCTGTGCTTCAGCTGTTACCCCATAAATTCAGATCTTTGTTCATAATACTGTTTCTTAACTATTGAAGATAAACAAACTTTAAAATGCTACATGATGTGTGGATAAATTTCTTAATCCTTTACCTAATTCTGCCCTGCTAAGTATTTATATGTTTTTGTCTTAATATGCCTTCCAGCATTCCTTTGGCATCCACTTCTATGCCTTTTATCCATGTGGAAATTTTAAACACAGAAATTATGAATTGTGTATTCTGTTCTGTTGGGCAATTATTTAGTTGAAAAACATTTTGGTCAAACATTGAATGCCAAAGTTGTTGCTGATCTGCTTGTCTCAAATGTGTTGCAGCAGCATGAATAACATTTCCATTGTAAAGCAACACAAACAGTGGCCAAATATCATGCTCGTATAAATAATTTATGTTACTTATCTGCCTCAGTATGTTAAAGCATGTATGCCTCATTATGTAAATGCTAGACATACATTTTGTACGACCTAAATCTAATTGATATAGCTTTTTTCGGCTGCACAGGGTCATGAAGTAGATTCATATGGTATAGGAACCTATCTTGTAACTTGCTATGCTCAAGCTGCTTTGGGTTGTGTCTTCAAGCTTGTTGAAATAAACAATCAGCCTCGCATCAAACTTTCTGAAGATGTTTCAAAGGTTTGATCTAAGTCGAAGCAACTTTTATTAGTTTTTATAGAATCACTGATTTTTCTCCCCTTTGTTATTTTACCAGGTTTCTATACCATGCAAAAAGCGGTCTTATAGATTGTATGGAAGAGAAGGGTACCCACTGGTGGACATAATGACAGGGGAAAATGAACCATCTCCAAAGGTAGTCCATCAATTAATGATTTTATCAGTAAAGCACTCCACATGCTCAAATCTTTGATGTTTTATGCTCTACCAAGTATCACCACCATTATCCTTTATCTTGTGCTATTTATCAAATGTAATCTGAGAGTGCTGGCATGATCAACAAGAACGTTTTCACTAAGCAAGTTGAGAGCTCAATATTCAAAATCATGGTCAACATTTAATGGATTTATGGGTGAAGTGCTCCATGTGCTCTAATCTTTTGATGTTTTACCTCTACCAAGTACCATCATTATGAAAGATTTTCTTAACACTGAGCTGGCCGAGAGGTTGGTGTTCAAAATCTTTGATCTACTTGTTTTATATGGAGAATTAAATTTTGAGTGCAATACATATTCAAGATATAATGGACTTCAGAGTCTGGTGAGATGTCAGTTATTGATTTATACACTGGTTTTACGAGTTTGGTCGTAAGAGTTCATTGTCAACATCAACAATCACCAACTTTTTATCTCATGTACATTTTTTTCCCTTTTGACCCATGATTGAGCTACCTGCCTGATGGAATCAGCTCACTGTGGTGATTAGTTGAAGGCGAAAACATAATATCTTCTTTCTCTAAACTTTCAGGTGGGAGAACGGATACTGTGTCGCCATCCTTTTAATGAATCCAAGAGAGCGTATGTGGTTCCACAGCAGGTTGAGGAGCTTCTAAAGTGTTATTGGCCTGGGAGCTCAGGTGGGGATTTCTGTGAAGTGAAATATTTTGTATATGATATCACAGTTGAACATGATGTGTTGAGGATCTGCTTCTTCACAAATGCTTACACGTGCAGGGATATAATTATTTCTACATATGGTTTCCAAAATTTTGCAATTATTTGATTTGTAGTTAAGATAAGATTTGAGGACTCAGCATTGTATCAAACCCCACATAATATTGTTTGTCCACAGGCTGAGCTTACTTCATCTATAGCAATGTCTGAAATATGTTTTTGTTTCTTGAAGATAAACCAAGAGAAGATTTACCTCCCCTCAAGGACATTAGAGATAGCTGTATCAAGCAGCTTGAGCGAATGCGTCCTGATCATATGAGGAGGCTTAACCCAACACCGTACAAGGTGATGTTTCCATCTGTTGTGAATAGTTTCTTCTGTAATTTTAGATAGCTGCAACCATGGAAATGTGAAACTTCAATGCTTAGCAGGTGAGTGTAAGCGCAAAACTGTATGATTTCATCCATTTCCTGTGGCTCAATGAGGCACCTGTCGGGGAGTTGCAGTGAGGATGGGTCACCAAATAAGATACTTGGAGCACTGTACAAAAATGCAGGTCAAGTAATGATTCCAATAAAGTTGGAGGAGCACTCAACATATAGATGATTCACTTTTCATAAAGATGAACCTTGGCCTTGATAAACCGATATGTTTCCCTATTTATTAATAAAGTTATTGATTGTTTTCCTTTTCTCCAATATAGACTATTGTTATTATTATTATAAGAGTATTTGGTTTTAAATTGTCCTGTATACTTTCGCTATGGCATTTTAAAAAACTAGATTTTGGTTTTGATTGGTGTTAAGATCTTTACAGAAAGGAGAGCAAACGATATTTGAAGACAGAAATTGTGCTTGGAGGAGAGAAAATTCATGATCGGTCTTTTATTTGGTTTTTAAATTGACCCATGATGTAAATTATAGTTTTTTAAAATATGATAGACAAGTGTAATTTTAATTAAATTATAAAATATTAAGGATAATTTTTTTCTTTTACAAATAAATTATTATATCTTATATTTTTATAAAAAAGTTAAAAACATAATAAAATAGATATAAAAGTAAAAAAATAAAAAGAGTTATCACTTGAGGTATAATAAGAAAAAAATATAAAAAAAAAATTATTCCTGAAAGCATAATAATTACTCTCTTCAAAAATATTTTAAAAGATTTCTGATTTGTAATTTTTTTGAATTTTTATCATAATTTATAATAATTCAGCCTTAAAAAGTTTATTAAACCTCAAATTAAAGAATAAATCTAGAGGTAATCTTCACAATAATTATAAACATCCCCATGGACCTTTTAAACATTAACCTATCAGGGCATATTGCAGTCGTCTCTCCTTGCGATCATAGAAATGTCCAAAAAGCTGGCTAAGTACGCTGTCTTATGACTAGTGTGCACCATTGAAGGTGCGTGCCACTGCAAGCATGGAATCACAACCCAAAAGTATTTTTAAGCATGGAGGGAGCTTGCTTGGTACATCTAATGGAATTTAAGCTTGGAAAGAATGATAATCTCATTAGACAAAATTCTCAAGATCAATGTTATATGTGGGTTAGTCTCAAAGTTGTTAGCGTCTTGTTTGGAAGTCCGTTTTGAAATGTACAAATCAATAGCTCATTTGAGCACTCCCTGATTTTTTGTGCCTGTACTATCTAACTAACACACAGTTATGCCATTGCAGCTTAGCCAAATGAGAAAGACATGCGAAAAAGAGACCAACCCCCCAAAGAATAGAATGACCGAGCATGAAAAGTCATTTTAATTAAAATAGATGACATCAATATAATGTGAATGCTTTTAAAAAATATTTGTACTAATAAAATATTAAAGACGCATAGGGCCTAACCCAATAAATTTATGATATATAATTTAAAGATTATTTCTTCCACAAAATACATGAGTGATTAAAAAGTTCATTAATAACAATCTATCAAATAAAGTGCACAATTTACCAGAATATTTTTGTACCCGTGGGTAAAAAAAAAGCTATGGAAAAGCTCTAAAATATTTACTTTCAAGTTTCAACATGGCCTTGGGCACAAATGAACTAGCCCCATCAAAATTGAAGTATTTTAATTACTTTTTAAGAACACGCACAATTTGATGGAAAAATTCTATATGGGTCTGTTTGCTTAGTGCTGGCTCTAAGCCCAAAACTTTTTTTGGTCAAATTGTAACCTCAACTAAAATCTATAAAAGATTTCAACACGATAAAAAATTTGCTGAACTTTTACCACTAGATTTAAAAAAAAAAGAAAATCTAAATTTATACATAATACAAGGAATCGACAAATAAGATGGTTCGCCATTGAAGAAGTGGCGCATATTTCCATTTCCATACAGCAGAAAGTTAGAATGCTCTGACCAGACTTATACCTGATATTTACATATCGCTTGGCAAATTATACTGTGACTGCAAGGCCATCCAACTGCACCCACCCATAAGCGCATCTGTCCCTCATCTTTTTAACTGTTGAAAGTGCCATATCGACCACTGGCCGGATTTTCATCAGCGCCTTTTCTACCAGTATTCTAGTGCCTGCGTCCGCCTGCAACTAGATCAACCATGAAACGTCAAGCTAAATCAGCACCAGAGCATGGCAACTTATCATGACAAATCAACAACTAAATAAAGATACCAACCTTTTCAATGCAGCAAGCAGTGTCGAGCAAGTGACAGAAATACGACAGTTGCTTGTACAAATCTGCTTCCGTGTACTGGCGAAAACACATTTAGAACCAAATTTCTCAGCAACTAAATACAATCAATGGAATAAATTTCTTTAAAGTTCAGTATGCGATGTAAACCTTTCTCACTAGACGCCCATTGCAGCGTGGATAGCTTGGACAAACTGTTCCTCTCTCGGAATCACCAACCAGCCTCAGGTTGACACTCCTAGTGGTATGCTTACAAGTTTCATCATCACACTGAAAGCAGACTAGATTTAATTATTATCATGGTTCATGTATGTTGATCTTGTATTCCTTATAATAATGTGCAACAAATAGATTACCATCATGACGCCTTTATAGTATGTGGAAACAAACCCCTCTGCTTGCCTTTTGACCTGAAATAGAAAGGTTCACACACACCGCTCTTAACTCAGAACTCAAAAGAGTTGAGTGTTTAATAAATAATTCACTTGTGGATCCAGTCCATCTCAATAAAACACTCCAGAAACATCTTTCAATGTCTTGACAGCGAACCATGTAATATTTCTTTCTCCAAGTGCACAACATAGAAGAAGATTAAGATAAAAACCTGATTGGCCATAATTGCAGGAGATATTCTGCCCAAGTCACCTTCCGCTGGGCATTTAGGGCAACACAATCTATGCCAGAAATTGGATATAGATTCTTCGATTTGTGGGTTTTTTGATTTCTCAAGAATTGACGTACAAATGGAAGTGAAGACAGGAGGACAGTGAAAAGTACCAGAGCAGCTGGGACATGACAAGATTAGCGGCTCACAACTCTGATATCTGCAATTCAATTCAAGGAAAAAAAATGGAGTGAAAAGGAACCAGAAGAGAAAAGGATTTCACATTACAGTTTCAAATATAATTGCATTTATACCCTACAATGTATTCCAAATTTTATTAATTAATTCTGGAAATGATGCCTTGGACACAAATAACAAAAGCTAAGCTATTGAAATTAAATTGAGGCACAGAAGATATTTGAAAGCGTAGGACCATAATGGCATTGCTAGGCATAATAATTACCTTTCCTCATCATCAGCAGCAAACAGGAGTGAGCTAGAAGGGACAGATTCACTTGATTTACTTTGGAACTGTAAAAACAATTAATCATGGGTTAAGTGCTGCATACAAATTGGAAAATATCATAGCTCTTAGTCTGGCTAGGAAGAATACCTTGGATGAGTCAAGCCCCAAGCAATCAGCCAAACGCTCTGGGCTTGTACCCTGGATTGAAGCACATAAACGTGATACCACAGGATGAATTTGCTGTGACAAATAGTACTCAATGTCTATAATCCATTTTCCATCATCACATTTCAATTCATCAGGATGTCTTGCACGCTGGGCTATCCCTGTTAAACTTACTGCAGAAGCACCCGCACCCTGCTCGATTGAAAAACAAGGGCAGAAAATAAAAGAACATCGAACAAGGTTACATTTTAAATACAAGACTTGGAATGCTATACCCAAATTACATCAATCAATACCTGCTCGCAGCAAATTATATACGGTACTGTATCACCAGCAGAGCAACCAGCTGTATAGCCACTTTGCTTCAACCTTAGTGCTACCTGGAAAATGGTGCACAAAAGTAAGAATGGATTAGTCAAATGGTACAAACCATGAAAATATGGTTAAAGACCCGTTAAAGAACAATTCAAAAATGTTCAGACTCACCAGAACATGAGGTTGATTTTTGGCATCAGGATAGGCTTCAGGTGGTTTAGTCAATGTCTTTGTGATGACATATTTCTCAAGGGCTACTTGTCCACTCCTCATATCTTCCTGGACCTGTTAAATTCACAAAACTGAACAATAAGACTCCAAATGGAAAGGCAAGTTTAAAGCACAGACATCATTCAATGGCAACTCTAGTTTTCCAAACAAGTTGAGATGATAACACCTTTCTCTACCAGGATCCATAACCCCTTCAACTGCCTTTTATTTGTTCAACAATAACCATATTGAAATGGCCATATATCTCTTTTACCATTTTCCTGACAATTTGCCTTTTCTTTTAAAAAAGAAAGGAAAGGAAAGGAATATTGACAATAATTCAACGTTACCTTCATGAGGGAGTTATGTATTGATTCAATTACGTCCTCACATGACCTGTGAGCACAAGAGCCAAAGGCATGACAAGGTAAATGGGGACTCCAATCACTTTCGTTGAATTCCAGCCAAGTACAAAGTCAAAATGACTGTAAAAAAAGGACAGTATAGCATACCCTCCAGACAAAATTTGAGCCAGGCAGAAATCTCCCAATTCCTTTGATAGCAAGCTCCAGTCACGACGAACCATGTCAAGACCTTTACGTTCAATAACCTGCAGCAAAAAAGTTAATATACTGATCTTATTCAAGACAACAGTAACTGAAATGGCAAAAAAATATTTATTTTTACAAAAATTTACCTCATATGGTGTCCCATCCTTGAATTGCACCTTAACAGCTGCATATTTCTTCTTCTTAAGAAGAAGCATTCTTTTGTACAAGCCATCAAGATCAATTTCTAGACACCTGTACTTCTTGTTAACCTAGATACAGCTAAACAAAGTTAGATCCAATGTAGAGCATGCAAAGAGAAGAGGAATCTAATAGTAGCAACATGACAAGGAGAAAACAAAGAAGACTTCATTTGGTTTAAGCAACTTGCATGCTGGCAAGTTGGAGTTAAAACATTAAATTTGGAACTTTATAGATGCCCAAGTCTTATGGATTTTGGATTTGTCAAAAAGTGCAGTAACTGTATCCCACTGTTATCTATTCACTAGGAATATGACAAGGTCAGTTCATTTAGACACTTCATTGCATTTTGCATTTTTTAGCATGGGATGCTGATAGGCCTCCATATAACTGTTTTTGCAACATAAGGTACATAGAATTTTTCCAACAAGCACAAAGTGCATGACCATAATTTTACCTCCTGGATGACTTTCCCTGCAATAGCTTTTGCTTTTGGAATATCATCTAGTCCACTATAAATCAT